TTTCGCTGCGGATTCCCCGCATTTAGCCCCTTTCTGACGAATAGTATACATTTTAATTTTTTAATATTATTATTCTGCCAAAAACATAATGAAAAATGTAACTGCCACCTACAGCCCACACTCCCCCAACACAAACCGAAAAGCAAAAAAAAAAACATACGTGGATGCTTCTGGAAGTGGTTGTAGACGATGTCCACCGCCTGCGGGAAGGAGACCTGATCCCAGAGCCCGTCGCAAGCAAGCACGAGAACGTCTTCCGTCCCGTCCAGCCCCACCTCCTCCACGTCCGGCTCGCCCGTCACGAACGGCTTGTACTGCTGGTCGCCTGGAGGAGGAGCACGGGAATGAAACGCGAGAACAAGATGAGAGGAGCAAGATGAGAGGAGCAAGACGTGAAGAACAAGGGAGGTCAGAGATTCGGGCATAAAGCGTAGGACCAAGGGCGATGGGGAATGATCGAGAAGGAAGCCCAACCCGATGATTAACAACGCAATTGCTACTGTCAAAATGTATCAAATTACATCGATCAAAATATATGCTTTATGATTAAAAATATTTCCATCATCATAAGGCAATATCAATGATGAGACCGTGCCCTGACATTTTCCTTCGGGAACGCAAAGGCCCACTGGATGACGCTAGGACACGCACCTACCCCTTAGCCAATTATTTGTGTTTATTTATATTCCAAGTACCCTATGTCCTGTAGCAAACAGAGACTGGTTCAGTAAAATAAAATGACAAAATAAAACTCGGCCCCATTTCTTGCACAAAATGATGGAAGTTCAGAACTAAGCAATTGATAAAATCATTCCTTTAACCTGTTCAAGCAGAGCATAGAGACATTCACCATCAGACAAAATTCCAAGCAACACTGACTTAAAAAAAAAAATTAACTAGATTTTCGCTGATAAAAGAGGAACACTGGTCACTTGGGAAGATGCATTTCTGGGGCTATAGGGATTCAGCAATTCCTCCATGTGCTTGGAGTCAAATTATAGCCAACTGCCAATTGTATAATCAATTCAGAGCCCTGTCATTCTGAGTTAGCATAAAATTACATATTCACTAGTATTCATAACTCTGAACAGAAGATGGCAGTGGTACATTAAGCAATGGAATGTATTTAATAATTGACAAGCAATATTGCAACCACACATCAACATCCACAAGACTGATCAATCCTCATGGTTGGGGGCATAAAAGCACATTTGCAAAAGTTCACATCTTTTAAATATATGTTCTTAGAAAATTTTTCATTATTATTATGAAAACTACCAAAATTTGGTCCCTATTCTGCTTACCAGTAGCACCATGGTAACTCACTCAGGTACTGGCACAACCCCCATTCATTGCCTTCAGCTTTTACCTTTCCACCCCAGTCAGTTCTATTTTCTGCTACTTGCCTGCTATATTTTGGCAAAAAGGCAAACCAGCGAATAACCATGTGCAAGTTCACACAGTCCACAACAGTAGTGGAGCCCTGATTTTTGCTGTGTTCACAGAGTTTGAATGACTTTCAATTAATTTTTATTTTTTCTTGAAGACAAGATGCAATAAACAATACAAACAAAAAATTTCTGGCAACACTGGCAACCATAAATTCTCTTCTTTTTTTTCCAAGTGTCACATATAAATAATGATGGCCATGATCTCAAGGACATCATGCTTGAATCATGTTTATGACCAAGACCAAAACCAAAACAACAACATAAGATGGATAACCATGGAAGCCTCTGATGAGCCCAGGAACACTTATCATCATGGAATGACTGCACTTAAATATTCAAGACTATAATTTGTGCCAATCCTGACTTTACACCACCAGATTAAGAAACCTGAAATCCCAACCACCTGAAACTGGAATATGGAAACTGAAACTGGCCAATAGAGAGAAAATCTGATCCTGTTGCTCTTCTGTCAAGATGAACACATTGTGATATTTGGCTTGAAATAAAGTTGGAGAAGGAAAAAAAAAAAGAGATTTGTCACTTAGAGAGGAAGTGAAGCTCACCAATAGCACGTGACACGGCCAAGTGACCTTGAACCCGCCAAGTCCCGTAGTGAATCACACACCCGCCCAAATTCTCGATTCGAAGTTTCTCATCCTGTAGAGGAATAACACAACATCAGGCACAATGAATTCCCCAACACAAGCCAGGAATGCAAAAGGCCCTTCACTTTTCGCTCGGGTTTGTGCGGGTCGACGACGGCGATGGGCTTCCCCCCACGCACCAGCATGGCCTGGGAGTCCCCCAGCCAGGCCACATACAGGGTCTTGCCTCGGATGAGACAGATCACTGCGGTTGTCCCACTCTCCAGCTTCTGCGTTTCGCATCAAAGTACAGGCAGACCCAAATGTTGTCTATGTCTCATGATCCTTTTGAAAACCATATCTTCAATCATGTCTCACTCTCACCTTTTCACAGAAATGAGCATCGGTTTCAGTAAAGGCATCGTGAATCGCTTTCCCAAGGTCAGAAATGTAATGCGGACTGCTGGCAATGCGCTCGTGCAGGAGACTGGCCGCGTACGTGGCCGCATCCGTCCCAGCATGCCCGTCAAAGACACCATAAAAGCTCGTCGGAGGAGCACCCTGCAAGATCACATAACTCTCACTGCAGGATTTAGTCAACCAATTATCTCAAGCTCACTTTAATCTCTGTCACCCAGGTACCATTAACATGTTGATAACAATGGGACCCACCAGTGGGTCAACCTGAATATCAACCCTCAAAGTATAATTAAAGCATACATCATTTCAAAATGTACTCACAGAGCCCAAACAACCAGTGACTCTTGGGGGTAAATTACTGCACTTGTCTGGATGTACTAATCATGATAGCTGCATCAGCAATGTGTTGACAGATAGAACAATCACACATGTAGTGCCAGGATGACCATCTGCCAATGATAATTTGAAGTGGATGACTTTGATTAACCTTTTTCCTGATTTAGAACAGTGAAGAACTAATGCAATAGGCTTCACTCAGCAATATTAAAATTAATTGTTTTCAATAATGTAAAAAAATTTTCCCTATTAACAGGCATACATCTGTAGAAAGGAGCTATGCAGTGCAAGATTCCCTTTGTGCATCATCACTTGAATAATAAAATGTGAAAATTAGAAATAAATTTAGCAAAAAAGATAAATCTATATTTTCATTTAAAAAAAAGATGAAATCACCCTCAGAAGTGTCATCCCTCCAATTCACTCAAAACTTTGTGCAGATGTCTCACCTATTGTGTAGGTGAAAACAGCTTGTCTTAAGACCCAAGGATCAAAGTTTCCTGAGCTACTACATCCCAAATTTTATATCAAATGATACCTTAATGGTATCTTGAACCATATAAATTAACCTTTCAAACTTGGTCTGAAAAGGCTAAGACTTTCATACATAGCCCTTTGCTTTTTAGTTCCCATCAAGGGATTTGCAACATTACAATGATCTCATGCATTAGGTAATATTTTTTAAAGTAAGCTATCATGACCTTTGACCTCTCACACAACTAATTCCTCAATTTCAGCTCTAATGCAAAATTACTTGCATTATGAGCAGGAACAAAATGGTCAATGAAATGGAATCATCCTATAATTATGACAAAATGTACTTCAGGCTTTTAAGGTGAAAGCAAAGCTAATGGTTACTTCTCAATTGTAAGAGATGTATCAAAATTAATATTCAAAAAGCCAAACTATAAAATAACCATTTCATCAAAAATGGCCAAAGGCAAAGACTCTACATTATCGAAGTAGGCTTTCCTCAACAAATGAGAGGGAAATAATCTGAGAAGTCGCCTTCTTAAAACATCTGGGAAAAATCCACATAGGGCCCCTATACAATATTTTTTTAAAATTGATTCAATGGCCAAAAAGGTATATCGTAGCACCCATTCATCCCACAGCTTACTGATTTATTCCACAATTTGTGCACACTCACATTAGAATGTTCAACAGGCAAGTAGCCTGTATTGAGAAGGTCACACTGAGAATCCATAAGGAATAAGATTCATGTCCTCAGGGAATATGTGGAAATGAAAATACCTGACATCTCATCTAAAAGGGATATAAAAAATAATGAGGCTTGCTGAAGACTATTCTCCTCAGGTCCATGAAGACAAGAACCAAATCATAAAAAGGTTACCATTTTGACTTTGAGAGATTTTTCCTCTGTATAATAGAATGCAGTCTGGAGCCTACATTTCCATCTAAGCAGTATTCAAATCACAATCTGTATGTAGTAGCCAATTATGGGCCAAGGAAGCCTAGATTTCCATTTTAAATGCATATGTCCATTTTCAATGCTGCACTCTTGCAAATTTAGCTCTTTTAAGTAACAGAAATTTGTCTCTCCATAGAACTTTAGAGGTGCATTAATTTACTGTCAGCAGCAGACAAACTGTGAAGCTCCAAATTATGCCAGCTACCTATTAAAAACAAAAACAGTGAAGGGTCACTTGGGTCTCCAGTGTTCATTTTCTTCAAAAGGTCTAAAAACTTGAGCAAGGTTAGGCCATACAAATACTTACATTGGATAATATGTAAAAATTTCAGATATGCACCATGGTCAACTGCATTGGCCTGTTCCATGGCTCAGACCAGGGGAGAAGGTCAGCTGCTAGATAATGTAATACTGGAGACTAGTAATGTATTTTGAAGGGTTTTAGCCAGCTAACATATACAGGATATCCTGTGGCGCACATCCAGCAGGAATCAGAGCTGGATGGCTATGGATGCAAGTCATCCTATTTTTTTTTTATGGTATGGAATCCTATCAGCATTACTGTTCAAATCCTTTCCTCTAACAAGGGCAAGGCAGGTTTCACCTTCAGAGTTTAGCTCCAGAAAGGTACAAGGACCTGGCATCTTCTGTGACTACCATGATTTCCTTTTAGAAAAGTCAACTGTTAAAGAAGTCCGTCAGTTTAAATTCCACTGTTCTTGCACCAAGAAAGGGACAAATTTTGGAAGATCATTTTTGATGCTGTGGGATCAATGATCCCTAGCTTCAAACAAGTTTTGTATGTGCCAAGAGGGCATGGCAAAAGAAGAAGAGCAAGAGATTCTCAGCCCTTTGTGGCACCAAGGGGTGCTGTGGTGCACAGGCTGAGAACCATTGCTTGAGAGAATGGTGATGATCACCTAGTGCCTCAATCCTTCAAGAAGCTCAGAAAGGCTGTCTACTTTGTGATTCAAGTTAGGGATGAATCTAATATTCAATATGATACAGGGTTGAATTTCATGTTATTGCCAAACATTAATATTCACAGTATTGGAGTTTTTATTAACATATGGGAATAGATGTATCAAGTGACCAAACCTGTTTCTGTTATTAAAATATCTGCAAATAAAACTGCAGGTCTATAGCGTTTCTCTTAAAACTGTTAAAAGCCTTAAAACTGGAAGGCATTACACAAAATCCATTAGTTGAACATACCAAATCTGAAGAATTATAGTAATGGAGCATTTGGTCAAAAAATCATATATTATTCAAATAGGGATTTCATGGATATCAAGTAGTATCCACAATATTTGCAATATGGAAAGGCCTCTAATGGGAATGAAAATGAACCTTAAAATGACTTCATGGCTAAAAGAAATATTACTAACAGCAAGTTAGTCTGAAGTCATCAACAGTTTATGATGTATGAGTGCAACATATCACAGAAACCATTTATTTTCTGATTGAAAAAAAGTGGAATGATTTCACTTTCTGTGAAGAAATCAGCCATTCACCGCTGCATATGACACTTAAAAAAAACATTCAGCCAGTTGATTTGACAGCATCCCATCCAACTATTAGGGTAAAAGCCTAAATAGAAAACCCAGAACAAAGAAAGACTAGAAACAAAACCAGAGAGATCAAGTGTGATGGGAATTTATGGTATGGGATAGTACAGCCATATAATAAATATACAGCACCTTAATGAGTACGAGTATACCATTCACAAAGGAGTTCTTTACTGAGGAGAGCAAATTTCTGCATTATTAAGTTCATTTCAGAGTTAGACTGAAGAATTTCTCAAATAGATGAAAGGTGAAACTTGAAAATATGTCTTTCCGAAATATATCTACGAAGTCTCCAAAAACTGACCTGAATCTCATATAAGGCACTGAGGTCAGGCACATAGTTGAAACGGTCCTCCATCTTGCGTCTGGTGTTCTTCACGGACGCGACAGAGATCCGAGGGGAGGCTCCGTCGATGCCTTTGAGGAAGCCGAGCGCGTCGAGTTCTCCGCCACGCACCTTCTTTCCGAACTCCCCGATAGTGCTGAGAATAAGCTTGTGCAACTGGAGAACATTGTATTCTGGAATGGACAATGGATCCCATTTTAATTCACATGCTCCATCCCTATTTTCAGAGAATTCATTCGTATAGAGGCCTGCCAGAGGTAGAGTTTACCTTCGGGGCCGTCTCCTCCTCCGGCACTCTGGGGAAGACATCCCTTGAGATCGTCTGTGCTGTTCTCTACCGCCGATGCGATGGCTGCAGCAAGTGGGCTCAAAACTTCATGAGGGCAGCCTCTGCAGCAACATCAAATTATTTGAGCTATAAATGGACTAGGCCCATTGAATTTGAACAATTTAGGTCCAGCTCCTTGAATAGCAAGAAATGATGGAAAGATGGCTGATTTGAATATATCTCATGTTAGGCCCCTAGTCCTACACCTGCATATCAAAGTGAAGTAACATAACCACCACACTGTATATCTACTACTCTTGCATAAACTTTTATGACTCTATCCAAGAGCTAGGACAGGGGTGGGAAAACTATGGCTCCCAGGCTGAATGCTGCCAAAGGAAGCATTTTGAATGGCCTGCCAGCTGTTGCCCTGCAGGAGAAACATGTGGCCCACAGTGACAGCTCAGACGCCACTCCTAGCATGACTAAGGAACAATTCCAAGGAGTCAAGTGTTACAGCTCATTCCAACCATCCAGGTGCCTGATGGCACAACAGCAGGTAAGGGATCTGTCAGCATGATAATAGGATATGTTCCAAGCTTGAAGATGATTGAAAGGCCAACCAAACCACTGTGACCTGTGAAAGCTTTTACGCTCACTCTCAAGGCCTTCAGGATAAAATTTTTCTCCACCCCTGGACTAGGGTCAAAAAAACAATAATTTAAGCTTCATTCTACACAACTCATATCTCATCACTGATGTCTGTGGCTTCACAATGACCACACCATCAGTAGATCGATTGAATTTTGACCAAAGCTGAGGAATTTCATGGCTTTTCCTCATCAACAGTTGGTCCCAGAATTCCTTCAAACACCTCATTTTTAAGGCCTTGGTTCTAGTGCCTTCAGATTTATAGATGAATCAGAGGGTAGGGCGTGAAATGTTAGACCCACTTTTATAGCAGCTCAAAATAGGAAGTAGAATTAGTTCCTTGATTCCCATGATCTAGTGCCAGTTTTATGCTACTCTGCTCTCGATGGATTTTTCCATCTTACCACCACTAAGGAAAGAAAGCGTATCCATATATAGCTATAGCTAGTTCTGTTATCAGCACATCACGTCTAGCGGAACTAATAGCTACATGAGACTCAAGATTAGACTACCTGTCGCGTAGCTGAGTGAGCGCAAGATCTCTGAGTTGTCCCTTGAGCTCGCATTTGTTGATGCGATAGGTGCCCAATTTCGTCGGGACGGGCTCCTGACTGATGTCGTGGCACACCAGGACGTCTCTCAGCTTGTCCAGTATCGAAACTTGGTCGACCGCATTCTCCGTGTCACACCGGAGAGTCGCCATCTTGCTTTACCGCTGGAGGAGACAGTGTTGCCATGAGGATCTGGAGCAACACTGCGCCCGCCTCGCCTCATTCCCCATCCGCGATTCTCCGACCGCATCACGGAGAGTCTCGACGGTTCGAGCCGTGCTCTGGCCGAGTATCTTCCTTCTTTTCCCACATTCGAGAGCTCCATTTGTTCCTCCTGATCAATGGGTTTCCCAGCATCGTCGTGCCGTCACGCTCGGAGATGCAGAAGATGCTGCGATGCGACCAGAATCTCAGAGCCCGGACGCAAAAGGTGGAAAAACGTCTTCCCATCGTATTTCCCTGCAAGCCCGGAGCCTCTTTGTTCAAAGGAGACGATGGGAACTCGCGAACCTCTCGCTATTTTCCATATTTACCACATTGTGGTCGGCGAGGCTCACCAGTTAGCGCTGCGATCGCTCCGCTGGCCCCGGCCGTGGAATGGAATTCAAACGAAATATTTGCTCACAATGGGACTTCGTGCTTTGCCTGTTATCGCGCTCGTGTTGAAAGCAACTCTGGACGATTTTTTTTTTTTCGTCTTCACGCTTTATTATCGC